ACCAAGATCATCTATCACATGGATGAGGAGGAGACGCCGTACCTGGTCAAGCTGCCCGTGGCGCCCGAGCGCGTCACTCTGGCCGACTTCAAGAATGTGCTCAGCAACCGGCCCGTGCATGCTTACAAATTCTTCTTCAAGTCCATGGACCAGGACTTCGGGTCAGTGGGCCGTGGGGCCTGTGCGCCAGGACGGGTGTCCGCACCTGTCCGCACCGGGGCAGGGCCTTGGGGAATCTTGGGGCTGTGACTGGGGCAGTGCCTCCGCTCCCTGGGGTTGCCGTGAGCCCCATCTGTCTGTGGCCTGAGCTGGGAACGAATGATTGTCCCTGACTGCCTGTCCAGGAGCCTGAGAGTGCTGGCCAGTGTGCGGGAGAGGGTCCTCGTTTCTGTCCCCACTCTGGACCTGGGCCTGTGTGCCTGAGTGTGTTTGACTTTCAGGTGGTCAAGGTCCGTGGCCCAGAGTGAGCTGACGTCCTACCTTGGCACTTGTCAGACTCAGGATCCCACTGCCCCCCTTCCGTGGAAGGCAGGTGCTTAGAGCTGGCCTGGAGGGCTTGTGATTCATGGGGCCCCGGGGTCACAGGAGTGGAGGGGTGGGGGGAGAAGGAGAGGGGCAGTATCCCAGCTGCCCAGTAGGTCCTCTGTAGTTAGCATGGGGGAAATGAGGTACTCTGGGACAGACACAGATATGTCTGTTGGGGTCTGCAGAGGTTTCCAGAGGCTCAAGGCAGCCTCTCTCTGGACCCCTTCTCCAGGGTCCTGAGGATAGAGCAGAGATCAAGGGTCACTGGGCACCCTGGATTGTCACTCCACCTGCCCCTGCCTGAGTGTTGCCGTTTGTTGGGTCTCTATCCCTGTTGAGCCACATAGTACTTGGGTTCCTGGGAGCAGCCTAGGCCATCTGCTGACTCCAGGCAGCCTCTGGGTCAGTGTCCCCATGTCCAGCCTTAGTGGTGGTTGTCTTGGCTGAGGGGACTTCCTGCTTGCACTGGGCTGGGCTTCTGGAACTGTGAGCAGGAGGCTGGCTGTCCACTTGAAGCTCTATCCGAGGCCTGACCTAGCACAGCCATGGGTAACCTGAGTCCCCAGCTCAGCAGTGCTGGGGGGTGGGGTACTCAGAGGCCTCATGGGCTAAGCAGGTGGGCCTGGCCGCCCTCAGGCAGCCTGTGTCCTTGTGTGCGACTGTGTCTCGGGACTTTGACATTGAGGCCATTTCCTGGATTCTCTGGTTTGCATGGATACTGGATAGCCCCAGGGCAGGTCACGCTGGGGCCATTCTGCAGTTCTCAGGGGGCCTGAGGTACATTTGGACAACTAGACTCTCTTGGGCACCACCGCCACTGGCTAGAGGCAGAGAGTGAGGGCGTGTTCTTAGCAGTCCTGGCTGGGCTGGGGCAGCGGCCCTACCATGCGAGGGGTAGCCTGGAATCAGGGGCTGTGAGGAACACCCTGGTGAGCCTCCTGCCCCAAGCTTCCTTCCCACTGTGGGCCAGGGCCTGAGTTCCCAGAGCCTCATGTTCCTGGCCACAGCTGGACACCCAGTAAGGGAAAGGGGAGTCTGAGCTGTGGCCATGTCCACCTGCTCTGGGCCGGGTCCCACTCCCATTTTTGGCCAGGTGGGTGGGGAGTCCTGCGCCCACGTCCCACTTTTCCCATGCAGGTCACAGCCATTCTGACCCAGCAGAGCTGGGGAAGGTCTCTGGGCCTATGGTGGG